TGATGACTTTCCAGTGGACAAGTATTCAGGTGCTATATGGCCCATTGTCCCACGAACTTGGGTTGTCACATTAGTCCGTCTCACATCCACCAACTTTGCTAGGCCAAAGTCACCAACAACTGCTTCAAAGTCTTCATCCAACAATACATTAGCTGCCTTCACATCCCGATGGATGATCTTAGGATTGCAATGTTCATGCAGGTATTCTAGCCCACGTGCTGCACCTAAGGCTATTCTTTTTCTTGTAGGCCAATCCAAAATAGCTTCACCAGGTTTGAGTTCTGTAGCAGTTTCATCATTAATCAAAGTACAACCAAAATTACATCTTAATATATGTTGACTGCTTACAAGAAATAAAGAAATATAGGCCGATGGACTCCAGAAGATGATGTCAAGATTACACATTAAACAGTCACAGAGTGTGTGTCAGGATACTCATAAAAAAAGGTTCAACAATAAAATAATTTATTCCCTGCATGTAGCATAACCTGTTTTTTAAGGCATTTTCAATTTGAATGATCACAGGGATCATCAAAACATTCTTTTATGAAGTTACTACTCATAATTGGATTGCATTCAGAATAACAAGATTTTAGATTCTTTGTCTCCAAATACTTTTCAGCTTCATCTAAAACTTCATGTGAAAATAAGATTTTAATTTCTACTGCAGCCACATCTATAATGATAAAAATTTCTAGCCAATGTCATGGACAGAAAAAAGAATGGCTTCTAATAGATTGTGTTTTTATTGTGGCAAAGTTATTTAAGTATAACTGGAGACACTCATGCCACTGTTTCAGAGGAAAACCACATTTAATAAGTTCAGTTTAACCAATTACGGTGTATTATGCTAGTTACTTCTGTTATTAGCCAGAACAACCCAAACTTCATACTACAGCAACCAGTTAAAGAAAAATTGAAAATTCGAACGTAGACTGAAAAGGGCATTAAAAACCATAAATATCACCATTCTTTTTCAACTCACAGATCTATAACCTGTGAGTTAAATCTATCACAAACTGTGGTTTTACTTCTACCAAATCTGTGTAATTCAAGAAGTTCCAACCATTCAACCTTTCCATTTTCCATACCAAGCAGACTCTTAAGGGCCCAAACCTATAACATAATCATGCCAAGAAATACGCAAACTCTAAGGAACTGTTTAAACATCCTATTTTAAAAACTATTACCTCGTAAACGATAGGCTACACTTAAATTCTGCATAAATGGATAGACCAAAAGGCGTTCTGTTGGTGTCGTGCAAAAGCCAATCAGCCGTAACAGATTCTTATGAACAGCTACACTTATCATCTCAACTTCGCGTTGGAAAGCTGCATCTCCACCAGGACTTTCAAAATCAGTTAATCGTTTAACAGCTACTTTTGTGTTATCAGCAAGAACTCCTTTATAAACCTTTCCAAAACCACCCTGTCCAAGGATATTCTTTTCACTGAAACTCTCTGTGGCCAACTGTAATTCCCTCCATGCAAACCTTTTCAGTTGACCAAAAGTAATTCTTCTGTCAACTTCACCTAAGCATACAATTTAAAAAAGAGTTTCAAAACAAAACATCATGGCAAAAGTGCATATTAATCTTTTGGCTACAATATCCAAGACAGACAAATTTATGGGTAGACAATCATGCACAAAATAGACATGTTTCAAATTGCAATTATTAGTGCAATCCTCAGTAATAATAATTTTAAATTCAAAAATCTCATTTGTTTCTGTAAGCTATTGTGCGTTTTCAGAGTGGCTAGTGACTCATTTTCTCCAGTTGCTAAGCCAAAAGCAATCTAACTTTCATATAAAATCCAAAGTTTTAAAATTAGACCAATGAGACAATGACATATTTTACACTGCATGTCAGCATCCACATGATGAGCTGAGGATCAACTTCAAATAGCATCTCAAAGTTACAAGAAGGTTACAAAGGGCACCCTATAACCACAAATCACCAACTTATATTTATCATTTTAACTGCTAGGAGATTTGTGCCACTTGTACAAATTTAAGTAAAACCTTGCTCATAGCATAAATTACTCAACCTACATAAAACTCATTGGACCCAGCAGTGCCAAGCAAACGAGAGAAAATGAAAATGAGAGAGAGAATTGTTAGGAAAATGATAGAATTATTTTTTCAAAGAGTTTTGACCAAGTGAAAAGTAATACAAACCAGCAACATCCACAAATACTTCGCGTTTGTAGCCTTTCCGTCTACCCCTCCACAGGAAGAATAGTAAGCTACCCAAAAGAACAAGAATTACAAGTCCAACAGTTCCCACAATAATTCCAATCCTGGGCTTTCGAGAACCACCTACCAGCAAAGAGAAACTCTAGCAATTAGGTGGTCAAAAGAGCAATGAAACTTCAGCTATACCTTAGAAAGCATTGAACATCATAAAAAAAAGAAGTAACATAAGGCCAAGTTAGTTAATCCAATTACCTGAATCATTCACAGATACACAGGGGTGTAAAGAATTTTCAACACAATTTAAGCTGTTTCCTGTGAAACTGAACCAAACAAACCCATTGCATGTAGAGAAACATACGAAAGAAATGGTAAACATACAGAAGCATACATGAAGTAAGCAATTTTTGTGTAACCAGCTAGATCATTAAAACTAATACTAATCAAAAGTTAGCCATACTTGTATTGTGGAATTTGGAAAAGATGATCAGGAATTTGACCACTAAGACCATTTGAATCAAGCTGGCTGCAAAGACAATTGCAATTATGTTGTCAAAAACTTAAACAGCGTCAAGGACAGACACTGCAGAAGGCTGGAGCAATTTACTCACAGTTCTACTAAAAGTCAAGTAATAGATATTTAAACAAGTTTACTGGAAATTAATAAAATATTGTGACTTACAGATTGATCAAGTTTGGGAGACCAGAAAGTGACTGAGGGATTGCCCCAGTAAGATTGTTTTGACTTAATGTCCTGCTTGCATAGGGTAAAAAAGAACACCCTTTCATGAATATTGAAAGAGGAAACAGGAAAAAAAGGTTACAAAAACATACTTCAGAAGCTAAGAACACTATTACTTACAAGAACTGAAGCTTTTGAAGTTTGCCAAGGGAAAGGGGTATTTCACCACTTAAATGATTATTTTCCAAATCCAAGCTGGTCAAACTTGACAAGTTTCCAAACTCTTCTGGTATCCCACCAGTTATACCACTTCCTTTCAGTGTACTGCATGCAGAACACACAGGATATATTATGATTAACTTTAAATTTGTAAAATGAACTGTTTGCTCCAATGTAGTCAATACATACAGTGTTGTAAGAGTCTTCAGAATTCCTATTCTAGGGGACAAGGTTCCAGAAAAGTTCATGGATGATAATGTTCTGCAAACAAGAGTGTAGTGTAAGCATCTGTTTGTAAAAAAAATAAAGTAAATAAAGACATTAAGATTGCAATGATGACTAAATACCATAAGAAAATGGTATTAGCATGCATCAAAAATTAATTTGAAAAAAGAATAAATTGGAGACCACTTACACAGATTTTACATAATTGTTACCATCACAAATAACATTTGACCAAGTGCATGGGTTAACTTGATTTTGATTCCAATCTGTCAACTGATTGGCTGACGCATTCAATGAAGTCCTCAATGCATATAGTGCATCTCCTGAAACAGAAGATGAAGATTTTGACAATCTAATATGCAAATAACAACCTCCCCTCTGTATAGAACTAGTTTATGTCAGACATCACACATTCAAGCACAAATTGGTCCAAGTTTCATGAGATTTATTAAACTAATTTGATCATAGTTTATTACACTCTTGCCTCTCTTTCTCAGGGACATACAGTGCATTGCTTCTCCTCACTGAGTTATAACCTTAGGTCCTCAAGGACCTACTAAATTGAAATAATTATTGGGACAAGAATACTAATTTAATCATAGTTTGAGTTACCGTGGCCTAGTGTATTAAACTTCTTTTATACATTTTTTATGAAGTTAACCATTGAATCTACTACACCAAGTGAATTAATGATATTCCAATCAGCATAATCTGAACTAATGTCAGGCAAGAATAGCTCCCTACCTTGAGCATCAGGCAACACAAATGAGAACAAGCAAACCAGTAACAGAACAGAAAGTAACAGCTCCATCTTTAACAACATCAACCCCAGTGATCAATTCCACAAAACATAAAATCTCTGATTAGCTTATGAGTTACTTCCATCTCTGCAAAATAACCAAGTCCTAAATTAAAAATGTAAAGTATATGAATTACACATGATAATAAAACCACGCTTAAGCAAAATAAGGTCTGTGTAATCACTGCATTGGAATAGTTGCTAAAAATACAGGTGGTAAAAAGAGAAATTTAACAGTATGGAAGCAAAGCCCAGTAGGAGCAAGGCACATCTTAGAATCAATCAAACATTGAAGAACCATCACCTTGGACCACCAACTCTAGCATTCTACACTCACCTCATAATCTTCCAGCATTTACTTTCCCCTGCACTAAATTGACAAGATTTAGCAGGTATTCAGTTTCACTTCAGTTCATGACTTAAAATAAGGGAGATTTTAACAAAAACCCCAAACTTCCATTTCTAGAAAGTTAGGTTGGTATTTACAAACCACATAACCAAAAGTTTGCAGCACGGTTCAACTTGTCCCTCAGACAACTACTTGCAAGAAAACTGAAATGACAACTAAAAAAAGAAAGGGGCCCCCAAGGGAAGTATGGTTTGGCCATAGACGCGGGATCAGGGGGTGCATCCTGATGTTATGTGCTGAAAATTCTTTTCAATATTCAACTTTAGGTGAATTCACGGATGGCTGCTCAAACAAAAATGGCTTTTGTTTATGGTGGATTTAAATAAGTATCTATGGGGTGGAACATGGAGAGGGCAGGAAGACAATAACTACACAAACTTGAGAATGTGGTCATGATAATTTTCATAGTCTAATTCCCCTTTCTATCATAACAGGGAGCTACTAGACCAAATAAATTGGACTCAGAACCAATGGAAACAAATCACTACAACAACGAATCTTAGTTGAGCTGTAGATAAAAGGGGAAAGAGCAACAGCTTCCCAATAGAACATAGAGGGGCCGTCAAAGATAAGTAAAGATGGCGTCAATCTTAACACCCGACAGGTAAGTATAGATTGCAGAAAGACCACAGCAAGTCAAACTTCAATGAAAAATGTAGGGCAAAAAATAAAAAGCATAACCAGATTCTGGAAATTTTGAAGTAAACCAAATCCGCAGTTTGGTTGGTAAGAAAATACATGTTAATTGGTTGTCAAAATTAAAACAACTGAAACATGCTCAAAATGAAAACATCAAGGGTAGCATCAGGAAGAATATAAATTTAGTTTCTTTTTGCACATTTCCCATGAAACCAAGCACAAGATCAAAACTTTAGAACCAAAATTACCACCACGAATACCCCCATAACAATGAAAACGAAGAGGAAAACATCCAGAGCCCAAATCCAGAAACCGGAACAGAACCACAAACCTTAAGCCAAAATGAGAACCCCAGAAGAAAAAAATAAAAATAAATAAATAAAAGAAGGTAGAAGAGAAATCAGAAAATGGGCAAGATGGAAAAGTGCTTACCTTTGAGAACTGAATCTCATATTAGAGCTTGTAGAAGGGAAAAACTTTGATTAGATGGGGTGGAAGCAAAGTTAAATAATAAGACTTAGATTCCACTTTTGAGTGGATTTGAGCTGGCTATGGATGGAGAGAAAAGCACCAACTATTTTTCCCTAGTTTTCAAACATCAAAATCCGAAGAGAAGGTTCTGTCTCTGTGCTCCACGCCGGGACTCCGCCCTTCTTTATTGTGTATTGGGGACATACAGAGACCCAAAAAGAAAAAACAAAAATTGAAAAGGGAATACGGGGGAGCAATTATTAGCTTCTCTCAACGTCACTGTGAAGAATGAAGGAAAGAAGAGATTAGAGGGTAGACGTGGCTTTTGTGGATTATTCTTACCGGCAGTGTAGTCGGGGATGAGATTACGTCCTTCCTCGTGACCATCCTACCCACTAGGTTTCAGCCTTTTCCCAATTTTTCCTGGCGGCTTTCCTTCATCTCATGATTTTGCTCTAGTTCCTTTGTTTTTGTTTCATCTCTGACCCTGACTATTAAGTCCACTACTCAAGAGTTCAATGCTAATTTTGAGGCGTACACACGCGATATCACCTGCTCGTCGAAAATACCATTTTACACCCATAAGATATTAGTCGATTTAATATTTTTATTAATTTAAAAATTTTAGTTTAAAGTTGAGATTAAGGAACTTAAAACTTTGTAACATAAAGCAATCTAACTTTGTTGATGTATCCAAAAAAACCCATACGACTCTATACTTTCTTAATCTAAAAAATTCATTGCTGATTTCAAGGCCCCATTTTTATGAATTCCATGTTGGTTTCCAATTTGTGTTTGGGAGCTAGCAGAACAATAGGCTAAGAGATCATCAGCCATCAGGCATGTGAAGTCATGCATATAACCTTTAACTTTAAGCCTTAATAACTTAATCATATACCTTATGTTTGAATTGAAAAGAATTGAGGGGAAGGAAAAGAAGGGAAGCCCTCCATTCCCTTCCTCTCCTTTTCCCCATTTGAATAAATTTATAAATTAAAAAAATAATAATATAACAAAATAAAAGCCCCTTTCTTTCTCTTTAATTATTTTTTTATGATCAAATAAAATTTTTTTTCTCCATTCCTCTCAATCTAAATATACTAATAGTTTTTTCTTTTGATTTTATGTTACACAATAGAAAATAATTCTATTCATTATTAACTAACCTAGTCATATATCATACACTTAAATTTAAAACTTCTTATTTTTAGTGAAAGAAAATTGTCATTGAATCACTAAGGTTATTAACAATAACAACAAATCATAGAGTTAAGTGACTTTCATAATTATAAATAAAGTTTGAGGGTCAAAACAAAATAAACACAACAGTTTATGGCCAGAAGAAACACACTCTCTCCCGTCACTTTTTGTTGTTCAGGTCCCTAAACTTTATGTAAATTAACTTAATGATTCTATATAGCAAACAAATGGCATTTTAATTTATTTTTATCTAAATGAAAATGCTCAATAAAAATTACATATAAAAAAATATTTCAATTATCATTTATTTATCATGTAAAGTTATTTAATTAAATTTTATATAAAAGTTAAATTAAAATAACTAACTCATACCAGATAAAGTACTAATAATAATAAATATATCTAATGAGATTATTCCTTTATTTAGTTTTTCTCTCTTTTTTTGGAGTGTTTTGAATTATAACTTGGCATGTTTGCTTGATATGAATATAAAACAAATTTGTATGTTCTGCCCCAAAATAGTAACAAATTAGACAAAAAAATCCCAGCCCTCAATTATTAGCACGAAGGAAAAATCTTATTATCATCTTGTCCTTACTTTGTGGTTCTCCTTACAATTTTGGTTGTCAGTTACTCATAGCTCAACTCACATCGCATCGGAAAAAAGAGGAGGATGGCTGTAGAGCTGGAGGGACGAAAAATTACTTTTTTATGGTAACTATGAAACTCACTCCATCAAGCTGAATATGATCCAGTGAATTTTTTTGGACAGCATCTAGTGCTAATGAATATGATCTCATGTTTGGGAGGGCTAATAACTTTATATATCAGATAATGGTGGCATTGAAAAATATCAAAAATCTCTAATCACAAATCACAAAAAATAAGATCTGGTTAATACAAATTATAATCCATGTATTTTATAAATATGATTAGATATTCTCTTAATTTTTTGTTTATTCCAAGGAGTACTTGGAGGTTTTTTTTTTTTTTTTGTTACTTAAGCTTTGTTTGATATTGACAATATTATAATTATAATGTTATTAATGAGTATGATGTATTATTAAAAAAGTGAATACATATAATATTATGGATAGACTTCTGAGTGAAACGAATTAATTACAAAAACAGCATATCATGTTGTAGGCTTATAATACCTAACATTATAAATATACCATTTTTTAGTACTACAAATAACTCTTACGAGAAAATGTGCAAATAAAAATGTCAATATTCTAATTTTTTTTATTTAAATATGTGAATTTTGTTAATTTCTAATTAAGCTAATAAACTTTCAATTTTTCTTATTTAAAGATGTTAATTTTACCTTTTTTTTTTCTATCCAAGGATATTAACTTTACGTTTGTCATATTAGTATTATCATTCAATTAGTTTTTAGATAG